CGTGAAAGAAATGCATTAAAAGCGAAAAATCGAGGATAGTTTCGTGTGACATGTGCCAAGTCTGGGCTATTTTGGTCTCAATGTCTCCGTCCTTCCCTCGTTATAAGGAAGGCACAGGCGGGCGCGGGCAAATCGAGCCTGGGCCTCCTGTGGTCTTACTTTTTAGGTGTAGCCACACTGACTCTTACTGCCTTGCTTCCACAGCCTCGAGCACCTTGCATTTCTATCATTGAACGTTTCTGTTCATTTTCTGTTGAAAACCGAACAAAACCATAACCCCTACATAACGTTTATAAATATTAGTTATTTTTAAATCATTGCCAATAGTCAAGTACACCCTTTCAATGATTAGCTGACAAACACTTCATGGGAAAAACACAGTATATGTTGAGTACAATGTAATTTTTACCTTGACATGCCAGAAGAGTCGATCACAACTGCAAATGAAACATACAAATTATTTGAGCAACACTGTGAATAGTGGGCAAGTAAGTCTACAGAATATGCATTGTAAATCTATGGATTCCAAGGGATTCAACTACATAAACAATACAAATAAAACTATGACATTTAAAGCAAAAGCCCTTCATCAGCAGGGGTGGAAAATAGGTGAGCACACAAGCACTGCTCATAGTAAATGTTAAACAACTGCAGGAAATTCATTTGAATCAAGATTTGCTATTGAAAATTTGAACGAAACCTTAAAGTTAACACCCATGTTCCACTATGGGCGCAATAACATATGGTTGACAAACACTTTTCCTTGAATTTAAAACCACGGTCAGCTAGAACACTATATGTTTATACACATGCAGATTTAACACAAAAATACTCTGTCCTGCCCTGTTCATCGAGAAATTAAATCTACTCTGTCCACCACTAAACGACTTCACTCATCAAGGGGAAAGCACTGGCACTCAATATGTTAATCAAACTATTTGTCCATGTGTCTAGTTAACCCATTATGTTCGATTGTGCCCAAATGCACCCCACTTTATTATTTAATCATCAAGAGGAAAGGGTGCTCAATGGTTAATTAACCTGTTAAACCTCAAAGGGTCTTATAAATCTGGAAATGTCGAAGTTCTCCTTGTATTTTTCAGGTAGTTGTATCCCTATTAATTGTAGCTTTCATATTATTGCCACCATCTACTGTACACTGGCACAAACAGTGCAAGATAATAATCTGTATGTTAACAATACCAACAGGTGAAATTTTAATACCTTTAGCAGCCTTGCAAGAGGGATAGCGATCACGAAAGAAGTTCTAAAAATATCCAACGAAAATGTTTTACTCCAATATGTTATACACTGAACAACAACAAGTGAAAAACAAAACAACAGTCTAAAATTTCTGAGAACATCATATAAACTCACCAATAAAGTTGAGTCATCAACGTCTGGAGTGAGGTCACCGACAAAAATAGAAAATTCTGGTCCTCTACAAATGTACATGAACTTACTTTAGTATTTTGATTGAAAAAATGTTAAACAAATTTACTCAACACAATTTAGTAACACACAAGTATTAGCAATGGTGCTTTGTGACAAACAAACAATAAATTTGACATACTGAGGTTGCGTTTCTTTGCCATAAGATGCCCAATTCAGTTTAAATCTTTTGGCCTAAAATGTGAAATTATTCTAGTTATATTTTTAAATCTTGACTGGTTTAATGTAATCACACCCAGGTCAAGCACTTCTTCATATTGGCTAATCTTGGCAGGGCTTGTATTGCTGTTTCAAAGGCCACAGGAAAATGGCATTTTATTGTCTGTTAATAAGAGCTTTGAGTTTCCGTCAGTTCAAGCTTTCGTGAAATTTTCACTCACCGGGTTGGTCCCAGGTACAGGTACCCCATTCAATGTATTCAAAGCATTTTCTGCATTCTTAGAACTTGGAAAATCCACAAAACAATAACCAGCTGGACCCCTAACAGAATAAATAACAAAAGTTGGACAACTTTATATTGTGAAAGATTACATACAACAATCTCACAACTTGTCAACAAGATGAGTTCGCAACAGGCTTGTAGCAAGCTTGTCAACAAGTTGTAACAATGCTGTTATTTTATCACGTTGCTACAAGGTTGTCACTCATAACTTGTTGACAAATTGTTGAATTGCAGGACGATAACAAGTTGTTGGAACAACTTGTAACAAGTCTGTTTAGCTCAACAACCTTGTAGCAAGTTGTCAACAAGCTGGGAACAAGCAGTGCGAACACATCCTGTTGACAAGTTGTTGGAACAGCATTGCTACAAGTCTGCTGCAGGTTTGTTACGTGTGCGTTTCCACATGTGTAAGGGATATTAAATAACATTGCTCTGAGGTACAGTAACTCCCTCCCTCCCCTAAGAGAACTTCTGTTATTTAGGTAAATATCAGGGGGGTTTTCTGTGAAACTAGTTTCATATTCACTCTGACAGTTTATCTTCAGTATCAAAATACTATACATAGGTATAAATGAAATCAGAATTAGACGAAAACTTAACTACACAATAAATTAGGTTTTAATCTTACCCTGTGATTTTATTTATGATGATTTTAACACTGATAACTGCGTGACCAGCTGAAGCAAATGCGGCTCTAACAAACTGTTCATCCATGTAGGAATCAAGCTGAAACAGAAAATACACATTGGAAACGTGTTCACGTGTTGTCATTCTGTCATTCATAAATTTTTATATAAACGCATATGAAACAATCGTTTACACTTACATCGCCCATCCACAAGGTTGACATGGTGAAGAGTAGACAATATTCAACAAATATCACTGATTTGAGACAGAATTATTTAAAAAATTAAGTGAAGAATAAAAGTTTTAGTTTTCAAAATTCAACTTCAAAAACCGCCATATTGCATTTGTCTAGTGCCTAGTCCTCCCCGAATAGCAACACAAAATTATGCACTCTGGTAAAACCATCGAGTTCCATTCAGTATTACTTTGACAAACTTCCATTCCCCCCCCCCCCCCCCCCCGCTTTCAATGTTGGGTCTCAGTTAGCATCTTACTTTGCTGTGCAATCAGGTAAACAACACTAAAATGGGGAGGTGGGAGATATATTGTAATAATTTGCATATATCCCGGCTGATGATCCAAAACCCAAGTGTAACTTTGAAAACAGGATGCTTCAAAACAGAAGTGTCTATTTGTATATATCATACACATAATTATATCACACTATATACAAGATTGAAGAATAAATTTAAAAATACTTTCAACTACTTAGCTGCTCAGTAATATATCTTGCATTTACTTTCGTAAGAATTGAATACAGTTTCGAATGACACAAAACTTTAACCTTCAGAGCAATTTCTTCTTGATCAACTCTGCTAAAACTATTTTGTCACGGCTTGAAATGCTAGCGTACTATTGAAGACGTGAAAATAAGCATTTTATAACAATATTTTTACAACCTTGTGTCGTCAACTTTGTAACATTCTTGTTATATCATGACTGTATCATACTTGTTAGAACAACCTTGTATAACAAGTCTGATAATACCATCAAGCTTGCTCTAAGTTGTTAACAGTTTGTTCCAAACTTATTCCAACAACTGGAAACAAGCTGTGCGAACACAACTTGACGTGCTTGTCGATAGCTTGTGAACAGATTTGTTTGCAGAGTCTGCAGACCTGTAACAACTTGTGCGTTTTTACATGTGGAGTGGAACACACAGGTTGGAATGACTTCAATATTTCTCTGGAGTTTTCTCTTAAACAACTGGCAATTCGTGTAATCTCATTTCGCGACTGCTGCCACTGGCGTCATCCGAAATTTGTTTGTCTTCTTCTTCAAACGGTCCTTCTTCCATCAATTCTCGTCTTGGCAAAACACGCAACAGATTAGTTTTAAAATGTTTCGCATGCTCGGGGTCAGAACTATCAAGGTAGGATTTTTGTCTTAAAACTCTCGGCAAGCGTTGTGTAGAAACATCGTCGATCTTGATCAGAACTATTCTGTCTTTCCGCACATGTTCCGAAGCTATTTCACTGTGCATTGCAAGCTGTAGTTCCTGCATACAATATTCGCTTTGCAAATAGTGTTTTGATACAATAATCAAGGTCTTATGACTGCAATAGATCGAATCTACCATATTGTCTTGCAGACTGCGGCCTAGCTCCCAATCCCTTTGGTGTAAACACACGATCAGATTAAAGGGAGGTTGTTCTAACATTTGGCAGAGCTCATTGACCCAAACAAAATCGTGACTGCTGTAGGAGACGAACACATCCCAACGTAACTCTGGTTGATCATCCGGACAGATATCTAGATAGAGAGACATACATAATTTATGGGACTTAAATTAAACGCGCGATGATAACAGCGCATGACCACGCTCGATTTCCGGTGAATAGCGCGATCCATGCCATCATTCTTTCTCGCACAGGGCAAAGCAACGTGGCCAAATTTACTGATCGCGGTGCTGGCGCAAGAGACAACACATGCAATGACTTCATCGTTGCCGAAAGTGAAATCATTTTAACATCACATTTTAATTTCAGGATATGTTATCTTACCATACAATCGTGCCTTCGATTTCCTCCGCAAGTGATAAACGTACAGAATTAAAGCCACACCAGACAAAGCTCCCGTGACACTCACAGCAATGACCACGACCAGATTTAGTTTCTTTTTATTCAATGGTGAAGAAGCGATGACTGCAGATACCAGTGAGAGAAAAAATGAGCTAAGTAATAGCCTTGTTTATACAAGGTTGATGACGGTAACAGACTTGCTACAAGTTGTTCCAACAAGACTCATACAGGCTGTTCGTAACAAGTTGCTACGAGCTTGTTGTTATCAACTTGTTAACAACTTGTTACGTGCAGACGATATCAGACTTGTTGGAACTTGAAACAACTTGTTGCGAGTCCGTTGGTTACAAGATGGTAACAACTGGGATGACGTTTCCCTGCTTGCCGGACTATGTCATTCTATGATATATATATATATAGCATACCTTTCACATTGAAGACTTTATAAAGATTCTTCGGGCAAAAGAAGACGTTCTTATTAATAAAATCACACTTGTATGTGCCAGTATCATTTCTTGATGCATTCACGATTGTATAATTTATCAACTTGACTATGTTGCTTATTTTGTTTTCTTTTTTTAAAATGTTTTTAGTATCGTTACCGCCAATATTAACGAACTTCTGGTTGACTATTTTCAAGAATTTAAAGAATGAAGGAAAGATGGTAAAATACATTACTTCGCACAGTAATGACGTTGAAGACCCCAAGCTGATCGTCACATCAATTTTTCTTGTCTTGTTTTTAAATTCGGCGCATTTCTCAAGCACAAAGCCTATTGGAAAAAAAGAACTGATATAGTTACACGTAGTATACACATATAAAAATCTCACAACTTGTCAACAAGATATATATATATATATTCGCAACAAGCTTGTAGCAAGCTTTACAACAAGTTGTAACAATGCTGTTATTTATCAAGTTGCTACAAGGTTATCACTCACAACTTGTTGAATTCCAGGACAATAACAAGTTGCTTGAACAACTTGTAACAAAAGTTTTAAACAAGCCGTTGACAACTTGTCAACAACCGTCAACTTGTCAACAAGTTGGGAACAAGCAGTACGAACACATCCTGTTGACAAGTTGTTGGAACAGCATTACTACAAGTTTGCTGCAGGTTTGTTACAACTTGTGCGTTTCCACGTGTGTACTTACTATTAATAAAACACTTTGATATGTAGTGATATGTTCTTGGCGACGTTCCATATATATTCCTCGCCTCACACGAGTAGTTTCCAGAGTCATTTAAATTTGCGTGACTTCTCTGGAGCTTCGATACAAACAGAAAATAGTTTTTGTTTAGGTTTTTTACAAAGTAGCCTGTGTCATTTGGAAAGATTTGCTTATTATTTTTGTACCAAATAACTTTGTTTGGTTTGAAGTAACCTGTTACCAGGCACGGCACAATCAAAGTATTTGTTAATACGTCGACTCCAACTATTGTCACATGTGGCAAAGCTGTGAAAAATAAAAGAAACTACATTTTAAATAAAGGTGACATAACGTATTAGACATTGCAGAGAAGATGAGGGAAGCAAGGTTGAGATGGTATGGTCACGTAATAAGAAGAGATGAAGGAGAGGTAGTCAGAGACATTATGGAATGAAGAGATCAGAAGAAGATGTGGGGTGATAGACATTGCAGAGAAGGCGAGGGAAGCAAGGTTGAGATGGTATGGACACATAATAAGAGATGAAGGAGAGCTGGTCAAAGACATTATGGAATGAAGAGATCAGAAGAAGATGTAGGGTGGTAGACATTGCAGAGAAGGGGGAGGGAAACAATTTAGGCCCATCAACCTGATTGACTAATGCAAACTTTAAGTCTTGCTTGACTACTGTATTTCAATTGTAATTGTTGTTTACAGTTCATTTATCATCATGTTATTACTCAAATTACTGTATCTCATTTTGTCTCCAATATTTTTTGCTTTGTCATGAAAAATAGCACTCCCCCTGCACCCCCTATGGCCAGGGCTGGTGTACCCCCCCCCCCACACACCCCAGTATGATCCATCCCTGTGTGAACATGTAATAAGAAGAATTGAAAAAGACATTTTGGAATGAAGTGACGAGAAGATTTGGGAAAAAATCTCTCTGTTTTGAATTTTTGAGGTTGACAGGACTGCAGGTACTTTTCAGATTAAGTAAATTATGCGAACATAAATTACATACTTTTAACTATGACAGTGAAGTCACATGATTCCAAACTTCGGTTTTGTTTAATGATACACTCATATCTTCCAGCGTCATTCCATGCAACATCTGATATATTTATGGATGGTACTCCGATCTTTTTCACACGATACGGCCTATCCTTATTCCATTCAAATGTGAGATTACTGCTACTTTTTTGAGTTGTTGAACAGTTTATAACGAGGTGCTGATGAAGTTCTAGCACAGCAATATTAGAATTATTGCCAACATTACTTGTCAACTGACACCTATGATTGCCACCTAATAATTGATGAATGATATTATTTTATAAACAATTTGAAACACATTAAGGATTAATAACCCTTTAAGTGGCAATGCACCCTAAATACTTTAGTATTTTACTCTGTCTATAATGCCAGACTATACTCATCAAGTGAAGGGTGCTGCCACTCAATGGTTAACCAAACAAACTGCCCATGCATCCTGCTCTTAATATATTATTTTTGCTATAAGAAAACTTCAGATTGACAGAGATACAACTACCTGAAAAATACAAGGAGAGCAATTAGTAGAAGTACAGTGGCTAATCGCTTGAAACGTCGGAGTTCTCCTTGTATTTTTTAGGTAGACAACTGTATCCCTGTCAATCAAAAGCTTACTTTTGCTATAGGCATTTATGCAAGTTTTTAACCATTAATCCATTACATTGCATTGCACCCTACTTTATTATTTTACTGTCTATGCCAGATCATTTCACTCATCAAGGGCAGCTAGCTGGTATTCAATGGGTTAATCAGAATATCTACCCATTTGTCAATTAATAAACACATATTAACACATTGAAGGCTAGTGCTCTCCCCTTGACAAGTAAAATTGTTGGCATTAGTCAGAGTAAAACAATAACACAGGGCACAATGCAATAAGTTAATTTGTTTTACTTGTCAAGGAAAAAGTACTAGCCGGTGCCTCAATGGTTGGTTAATTCACTAATTAAAATGTGATTCACCCCAATAATATATAAAAACGTAGGGTGTAGTTTGGAGTTTAATGAGTTAACAGAAATCACAGGCAGATAGTGAATCTTTGCTGGCATAAATTGCCTTCAGATAGTGACATACACAAAATAAAATTGCAACATTTGATGCAAATCTCTGTCTGAATTGTGACAGTGACATGAAAAAGGCAGAAAGCATATATAGCAACATTTTCAAGCGACGAAACATCTTTTGAAACGTACATACCAGCCTAACAGAGCTCTGTTTATAAACCTATAGTCTCATCAATCTGTTAATACCCATGACTTAGCCACTTAGGCATAATCCCAATTATTCTTCCTTTTTAATATATAGAGAGAGTGAAATTAGTTAGGCACATTGCATTTGAACACCCAAATCACATAAAAATAATACACTTTGTTTATTAATATGTATTTGACCCTTTGGGCTAATGAGAATCTACCAAAAATCACCTGTATTTATTATACTGCTGTGTTCTCCATGCCATATTATTAAAATCACATCATGACTGCATGGCTGTGACTGATTTTATGATCTCACTAATATAAAATCGAAGTTTTTACTGTAAACAATTTATATTTTCTTCACCGAAATTAATTCACAGAGTCAACACAAACATATTGCCCGCTCTACGCTGTTATTAACCGTTGCTACATTTATAAATTTCGAAGGCAATTAGAAAACAATACGTAATACGCTGTTGTGACTATTAAAATACGACATGATGATCGACAAACCTGAGACGCATCCTGACATAAAGAAAGAACAAAGAAAGATTAGTCTCGCAATACAGAACATGACTTAGCACATTGTGTCCACGTTTGATGTCTTGATAATGAAACAAGCAAGATGACATTTGTAATAGACTTCCTAATACGTAGAATAAACATCCGCCACTTTCTAGAAATTCCTCTTCGCGTTCATGCAGAAAATCTGGAATTTTCTGTGAGAAAATCTGGAATTTTATGTTCAATGCAGAAAATCGGAATTTTTCTTCGGTTTATCCGTTCCCTTTTCCAGATTCGTGGAGAATCTCACACGGAACCGGCAATATTTGCTCAGATTCGGTAATTATGCTCAATTATGTATCACGGAATCCGAACAAAGAATGAATTCCTGTGCGACATTTGCAGGCTAATTTGCCAATGATTACGTCATTGCATCACGTAAAAAAGCGCGGAAGATTAAAATACAAACAACAAAATTGCTGCAACTTGCAACAAAATCTGATTTCAACGCATGTTAAGTAGAAA